TATATGCCAGTGGAAGGGCACTTCACATCCAAAATCTCACGAACGGCAATCTAACATCATTCAGGTGGTTTAGCAAACTAATACTCAAAGTGCTAGGTTAATCAAGCGTATAGGCGACGACATAAAGAGATGAAGGATGAAAAACCATTAGGATTCCACAATCTGTTGACAACCTGTGGCGGAAAAAATGTCCCCGAAATCAATAGCTCTATGAGTCTTCGACATTTGGTGCTGACCTTACTTACTGACGTCTGTTACTCCCAACGGAGCATAGGCCGCCGACTAGCATTCTCCTATCCACTCCGTCCTGGGCCTTTCTAGTTCTATCCAGCTGTTCTTCGTTCGTCATATGTCTGCCTCTATTTCTCCGCGTAATACGTACTTTCGTCTTCCCCTTCGCCTTTGGCCTTGAGGATTCCAAATAAGCAATTTTCTAATGACGCAGTTGGGTGCTTTCCTCAATGTTGATAAGACAAGCCAGAACGACTGCAATTCCGGCACCTCGTCGTTGAACCCGTCCCAGCATATCCGTTTCATATTTGGAACAAGGATTCGTTGACTGAACTCGGTATTTCAAACTAGGTCTCACATACGTCAGGCAGAATATCCTAAATGTATTGTCCTCCAAGTTATGACAGGCTTTACGGATTACCTACAAAATATGGAAACTTTTGGCAGCGCCCATCTTAGTTACCCATAATTCTGTGCTCATTAGTTACTGTGACTTTTAAAATATTATTATTATTAATATTAGTTGAAAGCAATTCATCTATCATCTACTTGCATAATTCGTCACGACGATTTATTTACCATGCCATGAGCATGCTAGAATTTACTGCTAACAAACACCAGTCTTCAGCCTTCACATATTGTTGCAATAACAAGGTGCTGTTTACTCTCACACGTTGCCTCCTATCACTAAGAAATTCATCAGACTGATCTTGATGTATAATCCATTACCAAGCCTTCCCACTTTGCTCGAAGACCCAAATGAGAGGTTTGGTCATAGTCTTTACTGAGGTTCACGAAAATTACATCTACCGGAATATTTTTATCTCTTGTAAAGCCAAATCTAATTTCGGAATCAGATTAGTCACACATGAAAGATGTGTTTTCAAATATAATAAATAAATAACATGAAAGACGTGATCTAAGAGCCTGTCGTCCTTTAGACAGAAAAACATTCCTTCCTCATGACGTAGAACATCAGCCCAAATAATATTTTTTATTTGTTTCACCAAAATAATAGTAAAGTTAACCTAGTGGTAGTTATTGTTAGGAATAAAACAAACATAAAAACCACGAGTGAGTCACATTTTTCAGTAAAGTCAATTTATTTACTATGAAAATCATACTACATGTTAGATTATTAACTAACTTTAGTTACTTTCATCCAAATTTATTCACTGACCGAACATTCAAAATGATATGTAACTCTCATGTTGAATGCATTAATTAGTAACTGCTGAATAAAGCATCCTTCTACAGTCTTATCTTCTTACTTAAGTTACCATACCAGTCTTGTTTATTTCAATAAGTAGCGAGTAATAGTTCGTAGTTTATTGTCGTGTAGCGTCGTGTCGGGTCGCGATTGACAATGAACACCACTACGAGAAGACTACGCCTCTGTTAACCAATAAGATCCCTGTAGGTTTATATCAGAAGGCAGATGATGGCTGTAATCGAGATGTACTTGCTGGCGATCTCGTGGTATTGAAAGAATACCGAGATCTTGCCAAAGGAGTACAAGCGTGGTTACTAAGTATAACCGAATTCGCACAAGTTCAAAGTCAACGGGAGGGATAGAGTAACGGCTGTCATTAGCACAGTTAAACAAACGAGCACAGTAAAACAATCACTGGTACAATTAGTTATAATAATAATTGTTTTCATTGAATCAATCTCCTTCTCTTGACAAAAGTAGGTCACCACAGTCGCTGGCCAGCGAAGCGTAATCGCGATTGTTTCTTATCAGGTGATGTATCGTAATGGTGGGGTTCTTGTCTTTCGATCGTTTCGAAGAAAGATCAACATGATCAAGGTTTCTCTCTAAATACGCGGTTTTGAGGCGGCTGATGCTGATGATATCATTAGTTTTATTCCTATCGATTATTTAGTACTTGGGTTTACGCTGGAGAACTTTAGAGGATCTTTTGCATAGCGTTTTGACGGGTGGTTGCAGTGAGTTGCGATGCCGATTCGAAATTTCTGAATGTTTACAATAGTTCGTGATTTTGTAGTCGTTCCATGACAAGGTACATATGATGAAGATGAAATTTTGTGTTCGTGTTCGCAGCCAAGTAGTCATCAACATACGCATGTACGAAATCGAGACCTCGAAAAACATCACCGACGAATCTCTCTAAATTTTGTGCAGCATTTCCGAAACCGAAAGCAATACACGAAAATCCGTAGATACCGGATGGGAGTAATGATAGCGGTTTTAGGAATGTCATTGGAGGCCATGGGAGTATGGATAGTGGTTTAACCAAGTCGACTTTCGAAAAAGCAGTTGTGCCTTTCAGAGTAGCTGTCGAGCTGTGAATGTGAGACGACGGGTAACGATCAGGAGTGGTTTCTGCGTAGGATCCCTGATATTCACGGGTTGGACTCCAGCCATCGCTGTCCTTTTTGAGGGCCATGTGCGAAGGAGACGCCTACGGGTGGTTTGATGGCCGAATGACTCACAAATCTATCGTGTTGCCGAATTCTTTTTTGGTCAACCCGAGTTCTTCGGGAGATAGTCGTCGCGCTTTCGAGAATACAGGTGGTCCCGCGGTCGTGATGTGATGCGTAACATTGCTGGTTATACACGGCGACTTCTGTCACGTTTGGTATAGCTCGGGGTACTTATCGAGTATTTGTCGGCAGTATGGATCGATCGCGTGCCTTGACATGACTGGGGGCAATCTACAACGGGAAAAACAAGTTACAGAAGGACGCATCAGTAATCAAGGATGGATGGTGGCTAGCTGTGGTAACCGGGTCGCGCGTCTCGTTCTATCTGCTACTCGTCAGCTGGATGCACTTGCATCCCAGAGTTGATGTTCACTCCGGGACTCACTTCAAACGCCATCGCGTTGTCCATCTTTGTTTACAACGTCTGTGGCTTAAGCTAATATCGAGGCAAATCGCACAGTATGCACGTACGCCAATAAGAGGCTGATCAATTGTAGTCCTAAACGTCAATAGGAAGATTCATGCAAGCAAGTGAAGATAAATCAGTATTTCCTCTTGTCGACCTCCGTTTGCGCTTGTCGAATAGTAGGCTGTGACGCTGTAGCAGGTCTGTACCAATGATTGGCATAGGATCATGTGTAAAAACGAAGATCCAGTGGATGTGTTTGCATAAACCCACATTAAGCTACACATATCATTTACTATATGTAAAGATTGGTCCCTTATTTACCGCCTGTGAGTTCAAAACTGCCTTACGCAGTCGGTCGTTGGAATTTACTGGAAGAATGCTACTGATTACGCTGCCAGCACAAATCAGGATTATCTATCTCTGGTGATCTAGAGACAAATCGTTTTCGTGAAGTACTCTTTCGAGGAGTTTGGGATCGTCTATGGTGACGATGGATACTAAGGCACTATATCACAGTACGATAGATTTTCGCAAAGTCATTTCGAAAAGTATGAAATTTTTCTTTGACTGGAAAACCTCGGCTTTAGAAGTTCTTGTGGTCTCCAGAATTCGGTTGGTGGATGCAGCCAGCTTGTCTACAGCGTTGTTTTGAAATTAGACAAACACTGCCTGCAGCTGTTGGGGAAGTTTAGACGAGAACAACCATTTAAACTGTTCATCGTCGAAGGTCCGTTGAGTAATGACTTCTCTCATTCGTAACGACATATTTGTTGCTGAGCCATGGTGTTGTCGAAAAGTTGACCTAATCTTTGTCGATTAATTAGATCTCTACACTTTAGAATAGCCTCTTCTAAGGTTTCGTAAAGTTCCGAAATATCACTAACAAATATACTAAGCGTGACGTACTCGTTGAAATCGCGCGATAGTGCCCTCTTTACTGCTATGAATTGTACCCGTGGATCTGACACGCCGTTCTCGTGGACGTCAGCCTTTGTGTAGCAGAACCAAGCCTCGCTGTTGTCGGGCTGAAGTGGCATTAGCTGAAATAGAGGAGGGGAAAGAGTCTTAGCCTTAAAACACTTAAGAATCTGTTCGGCCATGGTGAATATGAAGTACAGCAATGAATGAGTAAAAAACATCCAAAAATACAAATAGTATCGCAATACACGAAAATTGATGTAAAAATTAATGTATGAAGTTCCAGAAAAGAAAAAATCCACATTTTATTAATTGTTGTATCACATCACGTCGGTCTCACCACTAAAGATGATACAAGTATCCAGTGTTTGACAACTCCTTAACTAGTAACACTTTTTGTAATCGAAGTGAGCCAATCCAGTGAAGTCAGAAATCAGAAGCAAAGGGGCTCAAAGATGTATTTGATAAGCTATAGATACGTCGAGAAGTGACTAATGTAATCTGACTAGCGGTTGTGGGATAAATGGAGAGCGGCGTAATCACTCGTGATCCTGTGCGGATACATGACCGATCGCCTTAGGCCAGGTGAGTTTATTAAGACCAAAATGGTCAGCATCAAATGTCGAGGACTTATAGAGCTATTGATTTTGGGGATTTATTTACTACTGCCAGCTTATTTGATATGCTTCAACTCTTAGTGATCTGTTAAACTTGAAAGTCTTGGCTCATTTTGTGGTCAGTTCAACTATGTATTATTCCTGGAACTAGAAATCTTGTGTGCATTATTATTGTTGTTCTTTTTAATGGCTGTCTGGTAGATTTTGTAGTCTTATTATTTGTATGTCTACTTTGCAAAACGTCAATTGTAATTACCAATATTAGGTAATCAAATTACTTCTTTTTCGTTAAGGCAGAAATGTACTTTGCTTCATGTAACACATGATTTCATAATACTTGACTACTTAATAGTTGGGAAGTTAAGGTTGAATTATAAAGCAGAGCCAAGTCTGAACGTCTAGGTAACTCCAGGGTCACAGAATATACTTATTGATAATGAGTTAGATAATTTCACCAAGGAATTGTTGCACATTGACTTTATTATGGATGGTTTCACTGAAAAGACAAGTTAATTCTTATTAAAAGCAGTGGACTGCTCGGACTTCTGTTTTTGGCTTTGTTGTCAACATATAAGGCTTTAGATATTATTTCGAATTAAGATAAATGGTTTAAGACATAGAGTTTAAGTTAAGGATTAAGACTATGCGTCAAATTACATATAGGTTAACTGGAAATCCCAAACCATAATCTTAACTGTAACCCTGAATTCTTTAAAGACACTATAATCTATGGGCGAACCAATAAGATATAAGATGACATGTCTTGGATCTTGGCGCTACGTTCATTCATCCATTTGGTTTAATAGCGTCTCGGGATTTTAGCTAGCGTCAGTTCGTAATAAAAATTTTAAATCTACTTCATAACCCTGACCATCAACTGTAAATCATGATCCTTATTCTTCACACAGATTTATAACTCTCATTTAGCCCTAACAAGTAGGTGGACACCCTTAAGGCCACTTTAATGTCACTCAAAGGTCATCCATAAATTATAGTTTCACCGGATTTCGGTTACATCGTTTATGCATACATATATCATAATTCTTAATCCTGATCTCTATCCAGATCTTAAGTCCTATTACGGAGATGCTAAGGTATTCATTTATACTTACTGCCTTCTGAATAGCTAAATAGAATCCGATAAGGTAGTTCAAAGACTCTCAAGTCCGCTCTTATACTGCATATAACCAGTGCTTGAAGCTGTTTGTTTTCCTATTCGAGTAAAACACTACTGATCCAGGAGGCTCTGATTAGAAATTCTAGTGTAGCTAAAAAAGATTATTTTATCGTCATCAGTAAAACTACGATAAGCGCTTTAAAAAATCCTGTTGCTAAACGAAAGAAGTCTTCGATAAAGAACGATCTCTTATAGAACAACAAGCTAATCTTATGTGAAAGTTATATATTGAGTCATTTCGACAGAGAATCTAAATATATATCGGTGACTTAAAGGGTCATATCATGAAAGGTCCAATCGATGGTGAGTAGGAATCAGTGAAGAGGCAAAGAAGGATAATATTGCGTGGAGTTTGGAGGGATCGAGTGACTCGGATCCTGAATCCAGACTTTCACATGCTTCAGATTAAGTTGAGCTGTTTGTCTGTCTCATATTTCCGACTTATTCATCAGGTGTTCATGTCAAAAACTAATAAGTTTAAGCAAAAGAGTCTATGGTGGTATTGATCCTCCGCCACGTATACTTATTAAGGTCTTTAGGGTCTGAGTAAAAAGATCTCAAGTTAACTTGTTCTCACGAGAAAGATAATAACGATACGCGGGTGTAATTGGAAGATAGAGTCAAGAGGAAAACGGGTCTAGCAGAAGGAGTAGCCTAGAGAGTGTTTAGTGTGACTACGTCAGTCAGCCACAACGTAGGACCAGGCAAATATATGCATCGGTTCAAGCTGCCATACCTCATTAACACAGCAAGATGAACACCGGATTCATAGAAGTAGTTAAGTCAATGGTGGTAGTATATAAAAGAAAGAATGCATATAAGGATATAGTACAGGAAGAAAAAATTAGTTAGTAGAAAGAAAGATATAAAGCAATTTTAATCTCATAGTTTAAGGGGAGACAGAGAGTGTATACACCCACGCCATTGTGATCGATTCTGAGTCATGTTACACACAGTCTCCAACCATTGGTTACGATAGTCACGCGGACCCCAACCAGATAGTCAGCATCTACCAACATGGCTCGGACTAGAAGTTAGTGACTTTATGAACTGATGCCACGTTTTGGTTTGGCCGCCCCTGACTTTCTTCCAACCATCCTCAATACCGGTTAGCATTTCACGTCGTGGTAATTCACTGACTACGAACTACTACTCGCTACTTATTGAAATAAACAAGACTGGTATGGTAACTTAAGTAAGAAGATAAGACTGTAGAAGGATGCTTTATTCAGCAGTTACTAATTAATGCATTCAACATGAGAGTTACATATCATTTTGAATGTTCGGTCAGTGAATAAATTTGGATGAAAGTAACTAAAGTTAGTTAATAATCTAACATGTAGTATGATTTTCATAGTAAATAAATTGACTTTACTGAAAAATGTGACTCACTCGTGGTTTTTATGTTTGTTTTATTCCTAACAATAACTACCACTAGGTTAACTTTACTATTATTTTGGTGAAACAAATAAAAAATATTATTTGGGCTGATGTTCTACGTCATGAGGAAGGAATGTTTTTCTGTCTAAAGGACGACAGGCTCTTAGATCACGTCTTTCATGTTATTTATTTATTATATTTGAAAACACATCTTTCATGTGTGACTAATCTGATTCCGAAATTAGATTTGGCTTTACAAGAGATAAAAATATTCCGGTAGATGTAATTTTCGTGAACCTCAGTAAAGACTATGACCAAACCTCTCATTTGGGTCTTCGAGCAAAGTGGGAAGGCTTGGTAATGGATTATACATCAAGATCAGTCTGATGAATTTCTTAGTGATAGGAGGCAACGTGTGAGAGTAAACAGCACCTTGTTATTGCAACAATATGTGAAGGCTGAAGACTGGTGTTTGTTAGCAGTAAATTCTAGCATGCTCATGGCATGGTAAATAAATCGTCGTGACGAATTATGCAAGTAGATGATAGATGAATTGCTTTCAACTAATATTAATAATAATAATATTTTAAAAGTCACAGTAACTAATGAGCACAGAATTATGGGTAACTAAGATGGGCGCTGCCAAAAGTTTCCATATTTTGTAGGTAATCCGTAAAGCCTGTCATAACTTGGAGGACAATACATTTAGGATATTCTGCCTGACGTATGTGAGACCTAGTTTGAAATACCGAGTTCAGTCAACGAATCCTTGTTCCAAATATGAAACGGATATGCTGGGACGGGTTCAACGACGAGGTGCCGGAATTGCAGTCGTTCTGGCTTGTCTTATCAACATTGAGGAAAGCACCCAACTGCGTCATTAGAAAATTGCTTATTTGGAATCCTCAAGGCCAAAGGCGAAGGGGAAGACGAAAGTACGTATTACGCGGAGAAATAGAGGCAGACATATGACGAACGAAGAACAGCTGGATAGAACTAGAAAGGCCCAGGACGGAGTGGATAGGAGAATGCTAGTCGGCGGCCTATGCTCCGTTGGGAGTAACAGACGTCAGTAAGTAAGGTCAGCACCAAATGTCGAAGACTCATAGAGCTATTGATTTCGGGGACATTTTTTCCGCCACAGGTTGTCAACAGATTGTGGAATCCTAATGGTTTTTCATCCTTCATCTCTTTATGTCGTCGCCTATACGCTTGATTAACCTAGCACTTTGAGTATTAGTTTGTTAAACCACCTGAATGATGTTAGATTGCCGTTCGTGAGATTTTGGATGTGAAGTGCCCTTCCACTGGCATATAATCAAATTACATGTGATTCGGCTTATACATGTCAGATGAGTGGTTGAAGTGCATTAATGGAGCCCTACCGATGGCCTAGAGCCGTTTCTCAATACTTTGACACAAACTTTAGAACAGTCAGTTTGTTTGTAGTAGCCTATCACTAATACCGTATTCTGAGCGCAATCTCATCCGGAACATCCATAAGGATTCTCACGCGAAGTTTTTCCTCAGAAGAAATATCATCGTGCAAGGTGGACCGGAAAACACGGACCACATTAGCCATGATATTCAGTCAGTAACCATAAAACATCTCTTTTCGGGCATGCGTAACACATGTCCCAGCCATCTCAACTGATTAAGTTTCACTATTTCATCAATTGATTTCCCATCCTTACCTAGTACCCGTTTCCTAACAACTGAGTTGCTTACTCGGTGGTCCCAGGATATACGAGCAATGTTTCGAAGACATCTATGATCAAATACTAGTAACCTACGAATATCCTCTACTCTTACTGGTCATGTTTCACTGCCATAAAGTAGGACGGAACGAACTGCTGCGCAGTAAACAAGTCCTTTGGTTGATAGACGGATATATCGCCTACGCCACAAATGACGCAAGTTGGCAAAAGCTAGTCGAGCCTTCTGTATCCTTGCTGAGATTTCGTCACACACCAGACCACAAGGGCTGATGGGACTTCCAAGATAAGTGAAGTGGTCGACACACTCAACTACTTCACTCCCTATCACTAGTTTGGGTGGCGGTGCAACCCAATCCTGAAGCAGCGTTTTGCATTTTGGGTGAGAAAATTGCATGCCGAACATGCTTGCAGTGTTGCTTAGAGTGGTCAGCAGACTCTGCACTTTGTCAGCGTCTTCACCAAATAGAACTATGTCAACGGCATACTCTAAGTCAACAAGTGAATCTTTCGGTAGGAGTTCAACCCCTGGAAAGTCAGATGTGGAAAGTGTTATCTCTAAAAGCACGTCAACGACAAATTTAAATAGGAATGGAGAGAGTGGACATCCCTGACGAATACCACTTGAGCTAATCAGTTCTGATGACAGTTTGCCATAAGCTCTCACTCGACCAGTTGTGTTCGAGTAGAGAGCTTTTATAAGGTTGATGTAGTTCTTTGGTACTGTTTTCAGTGACAAACACTGCCATAGAACCTCAAGATCAACAGAGTCAAATGCCGCCTTAAGGTCGAGTAATACTACCATTGTGGGGCGTCTGAATGTGTGTCAATGTTCTAGGACCTGACGTAGTGTGAATATTTGATCTTTACAACCACGTCCAGGTCGAAAACCAGCCTGGTTTACTTTATTCTGCTCTTCACGAGCTTTGGTTAGGCGTCGAAGCAATATTGAAGCGTCTATCCGGGGAACCTGTGGCATCTTCGTCTGGTCTTGCTGGCGTTGGTGTCTCACTAAGCGCTAGAGCCGAGGCAGCACTAATCAATCAGATCCTCAATAACAGTCAGTTACGTGCTGTCTGATTAGAAAGTTCCATCAAAGTAAGAGGTTGGTGTGAGAAACGATGTATTTTCGTCATCTCCGCCTATGCTTCGACATGTTGCAGCCCGGATGCAATCAAGGATGAATTCTACCACCAGTTAACTGTTCTTCTCCAGAAAGTGCGTTCGACAGGTATTGTAGTACTAGCCGGAGACTTGAATGCTCAGGTCGGGCGTCTAGGCACAGAAGAGAGTTGTTTAGGTGACCGATGGGGACTTGTTGGTCACAGGACAGATAACGGGGACCGTCTACTGCAACTGTGCGCAGACCACAACCTGTTTGTGGCTAGCACCAACTTCTGGCATGGTCATCGCCGACTTGCTACCTGGCGTCCTGCTTCTGCATCTCAAGCCTGGACTCAGATTGATCACATCGCGATCAGCTACCGTTGGCGTGGTTGTGTGCAAGTGTGTCGCTCCTTTTGGAGTACCTATCTGGACTATGATCATGCCCTTGTTTGTGCCAATCTTACCTTACATTTCAGTGGCCAACGAATTCATCGTTCTAAACGGATTGATGTCAGTAATCTGATTGCAGCTTCTGTTACAACTAAGTATCAAACCGAGCTAGGTTCTAGGCTATCTACCATTCCACCGAAAAGTATAGATGAGTATTGGTTGCAATTGCACGATGCCATGAAAATGGCGGGTACAGTCTGTTGTGGATTCGCGAAACGTCCGGCTTACAAGCACTGGGTTTCTTCTGGTTCCTTACAACTGATTGAAGCCCGTCGGTCTACTCCGGGTGACCGTGAGTTTGGCCACAAACGAGGACTGTTATGTAATGAAATTGAGCAAAGCTTGCGTAAGGACAGAGAAGACTGGTGGTCGGAGCGTGCTAATGAGTCAGAAGCAGCAGCTGCATCTGGTAACTGTCGAAGGCTCTTTCAACTTATCCGAGCCACTTGCAGCAAGAAGTCTGGTGTGAGCGAAACAATCTGTGACGATGACGGGATGCCAATCAACAACATCTATCGACATCTTGGACGATAGCGGAATTCTTCGAAGGACAGTTCAACTGGTCTGTTGCTCCGGCAACATCGATCAGACTGTCCTGCCCTCCATGGCTTTCTGGTTAAGGAACTGACTACGTTGTTTACAAATGTTTGGGAGCTAGAGAGTATTCGAACATCATGGAATGAGTCGATAGTTGTTCTTATTTTTGAAAAGCGTTTACGTCATTTCTGTAACAACTATCGGGGGATAAGTCTACTTCCGATTGCGTCCAAACTATTGACTTCAGTCATACTTCGTAGGTTGTTCAAAACCTGAGAAAGATTGACTCGCGAGGAGCAGGCTGGTTTTCGTTCTGGTCGAGGATGCATTGATTATATATTCTCCCTCCGCCAAATGTTAGAACATCGTCATACTTATCACAGGCCAACAATCGTAGTGTTTCTTGATATCAGGGCTGCCTTTGATCCGTTGGACAGGACTTCTTTCTGGGATTGTCTATTGAAGACGGGTGTGCCTGAGAAGTTTATTAATATATATATATATATATATATATATATATATATATATATATATATATATATATATATATATATATATATATATATATATATATATATATATATATATATATATATATATAGTAAAACTTTCGTGAATTGTTATTCTTGTTCCAATAACCTATTTTTATTTTATTTTAGTCATTGATGTATGAACTGCTTGAGTACGAGGCTTCTATTCTTGTCGACATCCACCACGAGAGCTCATTGCTGGTGGTTGCTGATGGTCTGGGAATGGATACAATTATTTATAACACACTAAGGTTACATTCAGATCCTCACAACTTAGTGCTTGTTTCGAACTATCGTCTTCCAGAAGCTCGTTTTCTAACAGGTATACTGGAAAAGAATGGAATAATCCACTCCCCCGGAATAATTACTGCCGAGGTAAATAACAAGGAACGTGAAGCAATTTACAAGCGAGGTGGTGTGGTATTTGTCAGTTCTCGCATATTAGTTGTGGACTTACTGATGGAAAGAATGCCTGCCTCTTTGGTTTCCGGTGTCGTAATTCTTCGGGCACATGAGCTGCACGAGGCATGTCAAGACAGTTTCGTTATTCAGCTTCTCAGAGAACGCAATCCCCAGTTGTTTATCAAGGCTTTCAGTGATAATTCATTGTCTTTGACTTCTGGTTACAATCATGCAGAAAGGATTATGTTGCAGCTTGGTATTTCAAAGCTTGTTCTTTGGCCAAGATTCAATATGCAGGTTGTTTCTTGTCTAAATGAAAGCCAACCCGATGTGGAAGAAGTTCGTGTAAGATTTTTTTACTATAACTGTTGCTATTACATTTTGGAATGAAAACGTATACCCACTAGCGATTATATTTGTAGAATGAATACATTTGTGCATCCCGATCTGATCTTTGTGGTTTTATCGTTGATAAGCTTACACTTAGGAGATTCTAAATTGAATTGATCTTGTATTCATACTTATTTCACCATCTTTAGAAATTTATTAGTTGATTGTCTTACGTAATTTTTGTTTTATCAGGTAAAGTTGACTTCAGAAATGATTATTTGTCAGTCGTGTATACTTGATCTTATGAAGGCATCATTGAAAGAATTATGCGATCAAAATCCAACACTAAATACGGACGATCTTACCTTAGAAAAAGCTCTGTTACCGAATTTCGACAGTCTTGTAAGTTGTGCATGATCATACCTTTCAATTTATCTTAAAGTATTGTCTTTAAAAGTCTGAGGTCAACATTTCATGGATATTTCAAATAAATTACCATTTTTAAACCCAAAAGTGGCTTTAGAAAACTAGTAGATACTTGTCGAATATCTGACCAAAGAATTAAGTGGGCTGGTGAATTGAGAATCTTATATAATATGTTAATTGTAAACCACTGGTTATATCTCATTATGGATGTGAAAATGTCTAGATTAACCTTACTAGAAATTTGTTGGTTATAGGAAATATATCGAAAATGGTGTATACCATATATTTTTGAGATGAATTGCGTTCAAAACCTGAGGTGGTTATGACGTGATGATATTTCACGTATCCGTGAAATCGCTAGTGTATATTGGAAATATCGAGTTAGAGCATTTAAACCCAACCAGTAATAAGTGGCTTCACCTGACTTAAGTGTGTCGCGACTAAAATCCCGCAGACCAGTTTCATTTATACACAAATTTCATATTTATTTTAATAAATTATTGAAATAAATGAGAGAAATGTGTTCCCAAGGCGATAAAGAGCTGAGGGTTTCCTGGTTGTTAAATTTATATGGGTGGAATATTATTTGCCAGTAGGTCGACCTCTGGGTAATTTAATATCACTTTTTTGTGTGGTCATGCATCTACTGCCGTGCATTGCTTCGTAATGTTTTTTTGTGACGCTCAGTCTAGTAATGCATCATTATTATTGTTATATATAACTAAATTATTCTAATAACTAAGCTTGATCTAACAATAGTATAGAGACACAAGTTCTCTTTATTAGATTAAGGTTATTTATCCACCTTGTAAAATTAACACGCTAAACAGTCAAGCCGACTTTTTCATAGTGGTAGTAAGATTGAAGCCAACTACCATTAGATCAGCTGAAGCCAAACAGTGGACAAATAAATGAGAAATATGAAAGTAAACCCAGAAGCTTGCGATTCGATCACAGCGTGTAAGATTACACATATCTGTTCCACGAGAGAGCCTTTGTGCCATGAGTTCAGTAATGCTGAGAGGCGAAAGTTGATCAGTTAGTAAATGTGATTTCCGGTAAAGTAAGCTTGCGATGTCTTGTCGTTTCATTGTCACAGCTCCATTTTCAACATGTATTTCTGTGCTTAAAAATGTTTTTTTTTCAAACGAAATGTCAACTACCAACATTTCTATCTTGTATCCAATTAAATAAGGTCTCGTTATACGTTGACCCTGTATGGAATCAGCTCAGTTCAGTCAGTCGACGTCTTATCGGAGATATTTCAAGCTTGAGGCGTTTACTCCACTTATTGATTGAAGGAGATGCTGTCAACTTTTTAACCAATATTGAAGGTTTACGTCAAGCAGCTTTAGCAAGTTTAGGCGTAACTCAAAAGAGTGAAATAAATTCAAGAAGGGCTGCTTCAAGTTGTCCTAGTTGGTTTTTAATGGACCAAGCTGATCGTCTTTTGGCGTCTGCAAGGTCTCGTGTATATGCTGATTACAGTAAAAGTATGTCTCTACATTTTTTAAAATTGCTGTAAGTACTTTTGTTGACAGTATTTTATGCTTTGTCGACTAGTCATTTTCATATTCATCTAGGAGTTTTCAGGAATTTAAACAATTCGTAATTATTTTATTTCGAAATAACTTGTTCACAGTTAGCTTGATGGTATGGTTGCATAGTTTGAGGAGTAATATCAGTGAGCTGAGATATTCGTCAATAAATATTCAGTTAAATTGTCTGCGATTAAAGTGCTAAATTGTAATGGGGAATCCCAGGGGTTTATATATTATTTAAATTGATCTTTATTAGTTGGTGTTTCAAATTCGTTTTCATGGCTCAATGACCTTTATTTATCCCATTGAAGTACCATAATTTCATTTCTGTTAAGCAAGAATAACAAATTCGATAGAAAACTGAATTCGTTGAGAATTTTGTTGTCACTTATTCAGCAACGTATAAGGTAAAATAAATAATAGATATAAGTGATTAAGTATTATGACATAACTAACAGTGTATTTTATTAATAAACCAATGGAAGCCAACAGTATATAATCCGACCGTTTGATTAAGTGTTAAAAACTCAATCGTATTTTTATTTGCAGTATCCTAATAGATATTCTGTCCGTTGGATCATATCTGCAACGCAAAATTCATCATATATTTGGTCAGTTTGTCATCAAATACTTCTTGTGGGTGTTGTTTGGTTTCCGAAGTTAAGTTTATGTTTGTGGACGCGTGAAAATATTGTATCCTTAAGATGCACTACAATGAATTCTTCCATAGTGAGTCTAGATAGAATTCCGTTCATAAGTCATTGTTGGGAGATGAATTGTTTCCTGAAAATTCACCCACAATCGGCAAATAAATTGATTTCCTATCAATAACAATTATTAAATTCTCAAACCGCTCGCGTACGGTTAAATTAGGTGCTGATTCTAAACACAATAAAAAATTCTATTACTTACTTACTTACGCCTGTTACTCTCAATGGAGCATAGGCCGCCGACCAGCATTCTCCAACCCACTCTGTCCTGGACCTTCTTTTCTAGTTCCATCCAATCCTTATTCATTTTTCTCATATCTATCTCCATTTCTCGGCGTAATGTATTCTTTGGTCTTCCTCTCCTCCTTCGACCTTGAGGATTCCATGTGAGGGCTTGTCTTGTGACGCAGTTCGGTGCTTTCCTCAATGTGTGTCCTATCCACTTCCAGCGCTTCTTCCTGGTTTTTTCCTCCATTGGGATCTGATTTGTTCTCTCCTACAGTAGGTTGTTGCTTATAGTGTCCGGCCAGCGGATCTGAAGTATTTTGCGTAGACAACTGTTAATAAACACCTGTATCTTTTGGACGATGGATTTCGTAGTTCTCCAGGTTTCCGCGCCATACAGTAGAACTGTCTTGACATTTGTATTGAAAATTCTGACTTTGGTGTTGGTTGCTAATTGTTTTGAGTCCCAGATATTCTTCAGTTGTAGATATGCTGCTCTTGCTTTGCCAATCCGTGCCTTCACATCTGCATCAGATCCACCGTGTTCATCGATGATACTGCCCAAATATGTAAAGGTTTTTACATCTTCCAAAGCTTCTCCGTCAATTGTGATTGGATTGGTACATGTTGTGTTGTATCGAAGAATCTTGCTTTTCCCTTTGTGTATATTGAGACCTATTGCTGCTGAGGCTGCAGCTACACTGGTTGTCTTCTCCTGCATTTGTTGTTGCGTATGCGATAGAAGAGCCAGATCATCTGCGAAGTCTAGATCATCTAATTGCATCCTAGCTGTCCACTGTATCCCGTGCTTCCCTTCAGATGTTGACGTCTTCATGATCCAGTCGATCACTAGGAGAAAGAGAAAGGGTGAGAGTAAGCAACCTTGCCTGATAGCGGTCTTTACTTCGAACGACTTTGTCAACTGTCCTCCATGCACGATTTTGCAGTTTAATCCATCATAGGAATTCCCTTTGATATTGACTATCTTCTGAGGCACGCCGTAGTGTCGAAGAAGCTTCCATAGGGTTGTTCTGTCCACGCTGTCAAATGCTTTTTCGTAGTCAATGAAGTTGATGAAGAGTGATGAATTCCTTTCAATTGATTGTTCCACAATGATCCGTAGAGTTGCGATTTGGTCTGTGCACGATCTATCCTTACGGAATCCTGCCTGTTCGTCTCGAAGTTGGGCGTCTACGGAGTCCTTCATCCTGTTTATGTTATATCTAGAAATGGTTGATTTACTTGATATAACGAGTACAACTGAACACACGAACGCCCAAACCCTTCCAAGTCGCAAAGAGAAGACAGAAGACTAGTGAAAGGAATGTTATTCCAAACAGAGTCAATTATGGGTACAAATTGTCAGGTATTTATAGTTTTAGTAAGAACAAAAATCATCATTATAGTCCTCCAATCCGCATACAGGGGGTTATTAGCCTTGTCCAATCGGGAAGCTACACGCAGGGATTCTAGAATATTCTTGCTAATGGTGATTGGCTGGAATATCTTCGGCTCCTTCTGAGCCTCTTATAGCTTCCTCGAGTTTACCCGCGGTCCGTCGTCACACCTCCCTCCTTTAAAGTCCATTGTGTAAGACTTCTTTCTCGGATCCACCTGGAACTTTATGGTCGCATTCCTCTTACGGTCCATCACTCTCGGGGGTTGTACAACTTTTCCCTTGCGTCGTTTTCCTCCTCTATGTTTGCGCTCATGATGGCTTTTCTGAGGTGAATCCACGAGCAATTGAAATGGGAGCCGGCTTCCTGGGACCATTGTACTGCTGTCTCTTTGCATTTGATTTATGTGTCTTATGCATTTTCCGACACCCTTCCGGACTAGGTACAGTACATTTCCGACTCGACGTTCTATGACACCGGGTTCCCATCTCCTATTACCTTGATAGGCTTTGAAAAGTACCCTTTCACCCACCTGGAAGTTACGAGTGATCGTACGATACTCATTCATCGGTTTTATTGTCTTCCTAGGTGGCAACATACTGTTGAAGACTGTGCGAATTTTTCTTCCGAACATACACTCGGCTGGTGACTTTCCTTCTGGTACTGCCGGATTGGGAGTAACTCTGTAAGACATTAGGAACTTACTGATTACTTGTTCTGGGATACCCTCACCTCTCCCCTTTACCAGAGCTCTTTTTATCGTATCCACGAATCTTTCTGCTTGGCCATTCGACTGAGGATGGTACGGAGGAGATTGTAGATGCGATATGCCATTTTCACTGCAAAAGCGTTTAAAAGCTGATGACATAAACTGAGTGCCGTTATCGGTCACTAAAATCTCTGGAACCCCAAAACAAGCAAACAATCCTGACAATCTTCTTATTGTACTGTCTGATGTCGTTTTCGGCATATCATATACTTCTGGCCATTTTGTAAAAGCGTCGACAACAACTAAGTAATTTCTGCCTTGTATTGGTCCGGCAAAATCGGCGTGTATTCTTTGCCAAGGCCCGTCCGGTTTTGGCCATGGTTGTGGTTCAGCTTTTGTTGGATTCTTCGCAGCCTCTAGACAGGACCAACAACTGCGACATTTTTGTTCTATATCACGGTCCATTGTCGGCCAGTATGCATAGCTGCGAGCTAGTGATTTCATTTTACTTATCCCCGGGTGCCCGCAGTGAAATTGCTTAATGACTTGGTGCCGAAGGCTTCTAGGGATAACGATACGGTGGCCAAACATGATGCACGAGTCGACGACTGTTAGGGAATCTCGTCGACGAAAATATTGTAAGAGTTCGCCACGTAGTCTAGATGAAGGCCACTTGTTGAGTATGCAGCGGTGAACAATCTTCAATGTATTATCCTTCTTGCTAGCTTCTTTAATGGCTTCGAATGTTACCGGGAGTCCGGAAACTGCGTCCGTTAATACTTTGTGAACTTCAGCCTCGACTTCTATGGCAGCTACAAGCACGTCCTCTTCTTGTTTTGCATGCGAATCAATCAACCTTGAGAGGGCATCTGCCTGTCCGAAGTCGGTTGTTGGTTGGTACTTTATCTTGAAATCATAACCCAGTAGCGTAGTTGCCCATCTCTGTAACCGGTTTGCTGTATATACCGGGATACCTTTTTTAGATCCGAATACTGTCAATAGCGGTTTATGGTCTGTTAGTAAAGTGAACTGTCTGCCAAACAGCATCTTGTGAAACTTTTTTACAGCGAATATGATGGAGAGAGCTTCTTTCTCAATCTGACTGTAGTTTCTTTCAGTCATAGTCAGCGATCTTGTTGCGTGGGCGATTGCTTTCTCAGACCCGTCAGGATAGGTATGTGAAATTACAGCTCCGATTCCATAATTTGACGCATCTGCCGCGACTATAATTGGAAGATCTGGGTCATAATGTGTAAGTAGAAGGTCTGATGATAGGAGCTGCTTTAGTTTTAGGAATGCTTCTTGACATTCGGTTGACCAAAACCATTTGGTATCCTTTTTCAGCAAGCAATTAAGTGGAGCACGAAGGCGATGCAGATCTGGAAGAAAGACGATATAATGACTAACCATTCCCAAGAAAGAACGTAAAGTTGATACATCCGTCGGTGGGGGCATGGACTTGATGGCTTCAACGTTTTCAGGATCAGGTTTTCTCCCGTTTTTATTGATTATGAATCCCAAATAACGGACTTGCTCCATGTAAAAATCACATTTTTCAGCACGCAACCTGAACCCATAATCTGCTATGCGTCTAAGCACCGTGTCGACCTTGCTCTCTAAGTCAGCATAGTCTGTACCCATGATCAGAATGTCATCGAGATACGCCGCAGTACCAGGAATATCTTGTAACATAGTATCCATGACTTGTTGGAAGATTGAAGGGGCTGTTTTTACTCCAAAAGGAAGTCTGTTATATCGGAACAATCCTTTATGAGTGTTTATTGTCAGGTAATGCCTACATCCTTCCGCTACTGGAATCTGTAGATAAGCTTCTGACAGGTCTAATTTTGCAAAATACTTACCCCCATTCAGTTTTGCAAATAAATCTTCTGGTACCGGCAAAGGGTATTG